TACCACTTGCTAATATCCGAGGGAAAAAATAATCCCAGCTTATAAAAGAGATTACAGTAACCTTTTGTGATGTACAACTACTTACACTTGGTCCGATGGATAATCGGTAACTACCACTTTGTTAAATAAGTTAACAAATTTGAATCACAATAAGCAAATTCAGGAACAAGGAAAAGATTTTTCACAAGATAATGAAAACAGAACAACCTAACCTTTACCTAACCTTACTTTAAAATACTTAAAGTAATTAACTTTGGAAAATAATTACTGTGGCTAATAATGGAACAATAATATAAGAAACACATCTGTAAAATCCAATTTATGCATGTAAGTCCTGAGCAATTTTTAAGTCATAATAAATTCAGCCATTTTACTTCAAAGTTTCACATATGAGCTATACGATAGTGATGCTGAACAACTACTCAAATGTATTATAGGAACTGTTGAAATCAACAGTGTGATTTTTACGTGCACAACATTAGAAAGACTTTGAAAGCCAATCTGGACATTGCAGATGCACCTTTTAGTAAAACAACCACACCTTCCACAGTACTCTATAGTCGTCTTCTTATCAATGAAGATATTTTAATATATCTTCATGCAGATAAAAACCTTATTTGTTATAATTTAATAGTACTTGGAACCTTTGACCAGCGTTAATTTTTCCCAACTGTATTTTCTTTAAATATCAAAACTGGACAAAAAGGTTCCTTTGTTCCATATGGGCATAAATTAACTACACTGTCTAAAAAAAATTCCTTAAAAATGCTTCTCAGATTATGTTTTGTAAATCAAGACAGTGAAAGCATCAGTTTATGCCAAAAACAGTCATTTTGACATTTCAAATAAAAAGTACACACATATGAAATAAAAGCCCACCACTGAGCATTCCATTCACCAATCATATCTGGAAATTGAGAAGATGATGTGTGCTTGGAGCAAGAAAATAAGAATTTCAGAAAGTTATCCAGCTTTTTGTGTAATCCACTATGAAATATTATGCTAGTTAAATGTAGCGCAGGAAAGTTTTCTGATAGTCTAAGTACCTGGTCTGAGAAACTGCTTAAGATACATAAAACAAGAATAACAACAAAATCTTCTCATTCTCTCCACTGCAGAGTTTAAATCCAAATGTATGTAAATCCCAACTCATCCTCTCACACCGTGAGGCCTGAGGAAAATAAATTGCAGACTCACCATATGATTAGCTTGAAATATGGGCATCACCTTCTGCCAAAAAAAAAAACCAACAAACTAGCACATGATGTACGACTATTTTATCAGCGCCAAATGGAGTTTAAGAAGAGGTGGCCATAAAGACAAGTGACTTACAGTAATATAAATATGAGTAACTTGAGTAAGAATAATTCTAGTAAACAAAGTAAGCACAGTTCCCTCTCGGACAGACTAACTGGCAGCTTCCTCCAAACAGTCTACATGCCACAGAGAGATATTCTGTATACATTGATGCTACAATTTCATTACTCCTTGAATAATTGCAGCACCCTCTAACTGTGAACCACCCTCTCAGATGCAGTGGGCTAAAACCTGCTGTTGTCCTCCCAAGTTCCAGGAATTACTCCTGAGTGACTTCACCATTGCTCTAACGTTGCCTTTTACAACCTAGTCCCGTGGTTAACAGCCTCCAAACTAATTGCCACGAAAGGAAAAACAGGATAAGAAGGCCCTTCCCTCACAACATTAGTAATGCTTTTAGGTCTACAGTTCCTAGAAATCTAGTTAATCTCATTGATTATTTCTCTTTTCTGCATGAAGTCAATGCTTGGCATGTAATTCTACACTAGCTTGCAATACAGCATGTCACAAGATGTTAGTTACTATTGCAGGAGCTACTAGGCTCTCCAGTACTAGAAATTACTTAATATCTGGGTAAGGGACAGAAAAGCATCCAGATAAAGGATTTCATTTTCAAGAATCTCATACATGAGGGGAAAAAAACCCCAACAACAAAACAACAAACCACACGACAAAAAACCCCAGTCTCATCTTCCACGGCAATCACCATTCTAAAGGAACTCTCTTTCTAGATCGTTGTAAATTCTCAATAGGAAACACAAAGAACATACCTCAGAAAGTAACTAAAGTACATTAGTACTTTGATCTTCATAATCATGGAAA